AGCTGCGATGCAAACTCCCACACACAATCACACCGGATAATTATCCGTCAAGTTCCTTGGGAGCTGTCGTCGACTGTGAGTCCATTATCGTCGTATGTTTTGTTGGGCAAGTGAAAAACGCCATCTTGGCCTTCACCCTCATACGTTTTATAGTTTAACGTGAAACTGAATGTTCGAGAAAGAGTCGTTCTTCGTAAAAATACCAGCGTGAATGTGACAAGAGCAAGCAAGTGTCTGCAAGTTCTATTTGCATACCATACTTGGCTCATGTGCGCGCGAGCTGCTCTCGGTATGTCCTTAAGCAAACAGGAAAGCACCATCGATATCGGCTACACGACCGGCACAAAGAGCCCTAATTCAGTTTATACCAATAGGGATATGTAACACTAAAATATTATCACAATGTAATAAAGGATTTTTGATAGATTATCAAAAATCCTTTCGGAATATATATCCTTCCTATACTATTCAACGCATATATTCATTTCAACAATATATTTTTGTATGCAGTAAAATCGAACACCATGCAATCCCCCGACGGAAAAGCCATCTTATTCCGAAATTTCCGCCACACAGCTCATGATGCATTCGGCGGCGTCGAAGCGCGGGTCGAGCCTCATGGACAAGGATGGAGGCGACAAGTGGATGTATGCGCTGATCTTTCCCAACAACGACAAAGCGAGTGTGCAGTACATCGTGCGCAAGCTGGAAGAAGCGGCGCTTCAAGTGAAGCTATTCTACTCGACGTCGCAAACGGACGGAACGCCGACGTTGATCATTTGCAAGATCCGTGCGAATTTGAAAGCACTTCGTGCGGAGGCCGCTCGCATCAACTTGCCCATGCTCATGGACCCGCAAAAGCTTGAGGCCGTCGCGAAGCGTGGCCTTCCCGAACATGACCTTGGTAGGATTTCTTTGCGAATTTCATGTGCTTCACGTGGAATGCATGGGTAGCCCCATTCGAAATCGGCGATAGCAAGACTCTCCAAGGTGATGTGTTCCACCCATATGAGAACATTCACATGAAGTACGACCTCGCCGACGACGTTCAAGATCTGTATCAGCGCACGCCTCTTGGCGGGCAGTTCTCGTCCACTCAACGCATGATGCTCATTGACAGCATCATTGTGAACGTCGCGCACGTGAACGTCGACAAGCTCAAAGCTGAAGGAGTCGTGCTCGACTGTTTTCCTTTGCACGAAGAAGATGAATTGGTTGAGCTCAAGCTCCGTTGGGTCGCGTGGAACTATCCGCCGTGGCGCCAACCGATCACCCACATCAAAAACTACTTTGGGTCGAAAGTTGCCATGTACTTTGCGTACTTGGGCTACTACACAACGTGGTTGTTTGGTGCGGGCCTGGTGGGTCTCGTTGTGTTTCTGGCCGAGCTGCTCTTCCAGAAGAATCTCATCGCCGACATCCCGGTCAACCAACTCCAGTTGAACGCAACTACCGTTGCCAAAGTCGGTCAAGTCGTGCAAGTTTACACCATTCCAGCGTTCGGAACGTTTATGGTCGTCTGGGCCACGTTGTTCCTGGAAGGGTGGAAGCGCAAGTCGGCGCGCCTTGCGCTCGAATGGGGTACAGCCAACGTCGTCGAGGAGGAGCAGCCGCGACCACAATTCCACGGCGAGATTGCCAAGTCGCCCATCACGTCGTCCCAGATCAAGTTTTTCGACCCCATGGAACGTCTCAAACGACGCGTTGTCTCTTGGCTCGTCCTCGCTGGCCTCCTCGGCGTTGTCATATTTCTCACGGCCTTGATTTTCATGCTGCGCTACTACGTCGTGTCCAAGAACCCGACCTTGATGGTCGTGGCCATCCACGGAAGAGAATACCCGTATGGGTCGTACGTGGCGGCCGTCGTCAACTTGGCCCAGATCTTCATCATGTACAAGATTTACGACGGCATCAGTCTCAAGATGAACGACTACGAAAACCACTCGACCGAGTCGGCGTACGAAGCCAACTACATCTTGAAAGCCATCATTTTCCACTTCGTCAACTCGTATGCAGCACTCATCTACGTCGCGAGCTTGAAAAACCCGATCGAAGGGCACTGCCTCAACGGCGACTGCTTTAGCGAACTGCGTTGGGCGCTTATCATCATCTACGGGTCGCAGATTGTGATTGGCAACATCAAGGAGGTGCTCATCCCGCGATTCTTTGCCCTCCTCGCGCGTCGACAGCACAAGGCCGCAAGCAAGGATGAACTCGGGTCGGTCGAGCTCCAATTTTTCAAGAGCCACTACGGGTGGAAAGGCACGTTTGACGACTTTTTGGAAATGGTCCTGCAGTTTGGGTACTCTTCGTTTTTTGTCGTGTCGTTTCCGCTGACGCCGCTGCTGTCGTTCCTCAACAACATGCTCGAGATTCGCATCGACGGGTACCGCCTCACGGAAGATTGCCGCCGCCCGCGTCCGCACCACGCTGCCAACATTGGCTTGTGGAGCACGGTCTTGGAGCAATTTGTCACCATCGCTATCATCACGAACGCGTATGTGATCTTTTACACGCGCAACTACGCGGCCGACGTGATTGAGTACCTCAACTGGACTGAAGTCAACCACGACTACGTCGACCTTGCTCTGTTTGTTGCGTTTGTCACGGTCGTCCTGCTCTTCCGTGGCATCCTGTCTCTGAGCATCCCGGACGTGCCAGAGGATGTCGCCAAGCAGCTGGCCCGTCAAGCCTTCCTCGCCTCCAAGATTCTCGATCACAAGAAAGACGACGACGACGAAGCGCTCAAAGTGGCCAACGCAAAGGATGCCGCCACCTTGAAGATCCTTGACGCTGACGACGACGAACAACGTGTGGAGATTGTGCTCTGAGGGTAAGAAAATGCATCCACTGTACGTGTGTTGAATCGAGCGTGTACCCCACTTCATCTCCATGGCAAACAAATCCCCACTGCACGCACAGTCTGCATCCAGGGTGCTTTATGGTGCACTGGATGGAGAGCGCGAAAGCCAGCACTCGTTGGTTGACACGATCTGCGCACGGACTCGAGAACACTGTACCTGACAACCTTTGCGCGAGATCCACACGTTGGGGACGCATCGTAGGAGATGTCGCCGCACCACTGCCATGGCGATCACCGACCTCCACGAGACTGGTTGGAGATTGTGTCGTTATCTGCTATCCATGGTAAACCCCCACACTTCGACATTCGTGCACGAAAAGGCTTCGCCTGGCACGAGCGGGTTGGACGCGAACGTGTCGCACTTGCCGGTTGTGCCATGGACCAGGTCGGCGTCCTGCCAGCAGCCACCACGTGACAACAAAATATTCACCAGAGGGGAAGCGTACGAGGAAGAAACCGAACGCGTTGCCGCCACCCATCACGAGCGAGTCCTCGGTGCACAATTGAAAATAGTTGTTTTTGCGGCTCCACGCAAACCGGTCGAGTTTTCCCAGCGGCGTGAATCGAAAGATAAAACTTTCGCCGTTCCCGTGATAGTTGCCCGACACCTGCCACACGTCGGATGCAAATCCGCCAAAGACAATGCCGCGGTCTTCCTTGAGCAAGATCAGCGTTGGGCTCTACAACCATTGACGCCATCAACATGGCCATCCACCGCACAAAACCTGGCCTTTGCACAGCGTCAAGAGCGACAGGAGCGAGCTGCCATGCACGTCGTTGCTGCCCCATCACCACCGTGTTTAGACAAAACCACGACGATTCCAATTCACCTGAACAAGAGCTTCCACTGGCATAGCTGGCAAGTGATCGGAAGCACTTGGTCCAGCTCGGCGACGAACGCGTCGGATAGAATGGCCGACTTGCCCAGGAGCTTGGTCTCCATCGTGATCGTCTCTTTGGCGCTAGACATCCGCGCCATATCATGACAATGTTTGACGCGACCAGCGATCGTACGTTTGCTCGGCAGTCGCTTTCGTTGCAGCTTGCTGTCGATACAACATCCAGTCGTCGACGAGATCCTCCACCGACGATGGCGACCGCTGCACGAGCCACGTCATTTGAGCCTCGGTTTCCTCCAGGATTCGACCAAACTCGGGCCGCGGACTCATGGTCCAGTTGTAGTCGAACACCCGCACGGACAGTGCAAACAGCTTGTGAAAGAACGACGGGTCGGCAAATATCTCCCAGAAAGGCTCCATCGAGAGCAACGTAAAGTCGAGGGACGGCTGGTCCGGCGTCGGTGCGAGCTTCAACACGTTGAGCAGCACGAGCACGAGCGCCGCGAACGCCTCGCCCATGTTGTACTCGTTCACGCGCTCTGCCAGAAGCTAGACACGATCGCCATCAAGACGACTAAGTAGGCTGCGCGGCTAGCACCTGGCATCCCGTTGGATCCGTACGCAAGAAAAAAGCCACGCATTGCAGGAGCAACTGCCCGCCAACGTTGAAATTCGCCAACGCCGTCCCTTCGCGAAAGCCAAAGCGCTGCCACAATGCTGCGTCCTCGACGAGCCAGTCGTTGCACGCATCCACGTGCGACTTGCAGCCGTCGGTGGTCGATCCCATCGAGGGTTGGTCTAGTTGCAGCGCTTCCTGCTCAAGTTGTCGTTGGTGCGCCGCGAGGGTGGTCCAGATGGACATCATGTCGGCGTCGTCGGTGCGGACCGGTTGTTTGAGCATCGCCGGAAACATCTCGAGAAAGGCTTGTTTGGCTTGAAATTCCTGCGCCAAAGTCCCCATCAATTCTTCCACGAGCCGTGCGCGTTCGACGCGATCGCACCTCTTTCGCCTTGACAATCTGGTCGCGCACTGGTTGAAACACCACCGTGTGATGCAGGAGAAGGAGCTCCACAACATGGGCTCCGATGGCGGCCATTCGGACCTCCTGCGCCTGCATTTGCGACTTATTTTCCCTCGTTTCGCGCTTCCGCACGATGGCTGGCGCAAGGGCGATCGAGAGCGCCACCACATTCAGGCCGTTCTCGTCTGCGTGCGCAAGAATCTCTGCGAGCGCGCCAAACACCTGCAGGAGCGCACATTGGTTGCTTGAATGATCGAGCCACGGTATGGCAGTATGACGAGCATTACCACTTCCATCGTCACTTTGTACTCGACCGGCAAGTCGGCAACCAAGCACGTGAGATTCCGAACGCCGTCCGCCTCGTTCGCCATCCGGCTGGATGCAATAAAGGCGTCGTACCGGTCGGACGTGATCAACGGCTCCGGGATGTGGCGCAAAAACTCCAACACGACGGCGCTCGCCACATGCGCGTCCACGTGCGCCGGAAACTTTCCATTTGCCTCGATGTAGTCCTTCACAGGCGACACGTACACCTACAACTCACAAAGCATCACACGCGGCGTCAACGCAACTCCCACAACGTCCATCTCTGTCATGTAGTCCATGCATGTCGACTCGTCGGCAGCCCAAGGCCGCCGTCCTTACCTGCGACACCGTCGTGCGAAACAGGCGGGGCGTGCCCGCGTGTACCTTCAAGTAGTCCAAGCACTCGACGAGGAAGTTTGGCACTGCCAAGTACGGATGGATGAAAGCATGGCGTGTGTGATACGGGTTCTTCACGAGAAATGACAGCTCGACATTGAACACGTGCTGCCATGGCTTGATGCCCTGCAAAGATACCACGTAATGCAGCATGGCCATACGATCCTCGCACCTTCTTGCGGTCCGAGAGGGCGCGGGCGCGCATCGACATGAACTCGTCAGCTGTGCAGACCATACACACACGTCCATTCAGCCGCGCTCTGCGTCAGGCGCCGTACCTTGCGCCGCCACGTCGTCTACCAACGCTTCAACCTTCTCAATCAACACATCGACGCGCGACTCGGTGGAAGTCGCCGGCGTGGCCGTCAGCGCGGAAGGACCCGACATGCTAGACAGATTCGGGAGGCTCGTGCGACGCCGAGAGAATTCGCGGTCCGTCACGTGCAGCTTGAACGTGAGCTCTTTGACATATGAGAGCAACTGGAGCATGATGGTTGTGGCTTCTTGGCACCGCAAGAGCGCTGTATCTTCGTACGTGGCGCAAAGAAACTGTTCGTTTGATGGGAGCAGTGCCAACTACATTCACTGTACGTCAGAGACGTCACACGATGGGAATGTGGTGAAGGTACAGCGAGGGTGGCGTCCACGAGCGACTGGTTGAGCGCCTGACGAATCCAGCAGCGAATTCGACCCGCATCAGTCGATGATTCCTTCGCTGCTTCGTCGATAACTTGGCCGATCATGGGAATACTTGCCGACGGATCGGACGAGGTCAAAGTGGACTTGATAAAGTGGAGAAGGAGCCATGTCGACGTCGGGGAAGTGGTGGCACCTTCACGGAGGCCATGTTGCAGACAGCTTTGGATAGACCACAATAGGTCATGCATGCCAATGTCCTCTTCTTCAAGTGGCCGCTTGCCTTGGAACTCGAGCTTGTTTTTCTCTTCATACCAGTTGCACACCTCCATGACAGCTTTCTTCAGTTGGGCCTAGAACTCGATCCATGCAGCAACGCGCGCGCAATCCCATCAAGTACCAGTATGTCGTATCGCTTCTTCGCATGCTCATCGTCAGGCCCTGCAGACGGCACGAGCCACGCCGCGAGTCGGTTGAACATTCGATCTAGTGCAGGATCTTCTCGATATGACGTGTATTTAAAATATCAACAAAGCATTCATTTTTCATATGAGTGGGAGGATTTTTATAAAATGATGCAAAACCGAACGCCGCCAGAGGTCGCCGCCGATGGCGAGCGCGAGGAGCACGCGGCGACGGCAGTCGCTTGAGATTATGGTAGGGTAAGAGGATAGGTCGAAAGCGAGTGCTTGTGTGTTGATCGTGTGAGAGGTCCGTCATCTGCATGAACGGCTCTGAACTCCGACAGTTTGCCGATCGGCGGCCGCAATCAACGGACTGCTGGAAGTTGTATGCTTAAGTCGCACGTTGTGAAGGCGATCGCAACCAATTCCAATCGTCTTCTGTCGAGTTCGTCCAGAGCACATCGACCTGCCTGTGGAGAGAGTTCCTGCCGCCCTTGTTGCTCGCATGGTTCGAGGGATAGCCGTCGAAAATTGGCCGGCACAATGCAGGTCAACCACTTCTTACACGTAGTTCCAATGAATCCGAGGGCACGATCAGAATGGAGTTGTTCTAGCACGAATCTTTGTTGAAGAGCGGGTGGTTCGACCTACCGACCTTGACCCCGGTCTGCGTATCGTTGTACGGAACTACGTTCTTGCGCATTTCGGCGGCGGCGCTGTGCTTTGCGGTCGGCGCTGCATTTCGGTGATGGATCTTCGATGTCCACTCGTCAATGTGTTTTCGATCGACCTCGCTGAAAGTCAGGCGGCGAGCGGTACACAGCGCCATCACCATTTCGACAGATGTCTTCGCCCATGCAACGCCATGTCGCGCCATCAATGACCGCAGACACGGCAGCAGCGCTCGATCCAACGCCGCCACATCGGCCAAATTGTCCATACTCACGGCTTCATCCCGCCGGTCCGTAATGTGGCCAGCAACTTGTTTCGCAGCCTTGGCAAACATGAACGAGTCGTCGGTAAACAAGTCGTTGTGCACGACAGCATTCAAGACCCAGTTGTCGATCACATCGCTATCGACATCGTCACTCGCCCGGAGCAAGGTTTCTCGATGCCTAGAGTAAGATAGTTCAGACGAGAGTCGGCAATGACATTCCGTACTTGTGGACGACGCGAAAGAGCGCAGAGTATACCACTCGGTAACTTGCGTGATGAATGCGTTCGGGTTTGGCGCTCATCACCTCTTGAAGACACTCTAGAAGCAACGACAGTGTACGTTTGTCGGTCGGGGAGGCTGAACATGTCTCTTCAAGCAGAACGCCGAACAGAGTCGCAGCTTTCGCAAACTTCTTGTCCACGAGCTGACAATGGGCAATCGAGTCACAAGATCGACTTGTGACTCATGGGACTTACCATGTATCGTTTCAGCTTGTCGATCGTTTCGCGCGGGTCCAGCACTGTGCTCGCTCGCTTGTCCTCCACTTCGTCTTTACCTTGCGCCACGTTGTCGTCCTCGCGGAACGAGACATGGCAGGTGCTGTTCCTTGCTGCCTTCTTCACCAACGGAGCATCAACTACCTCCCCAGCGCGTTTCCTCGATGCTTTAGTCCACGCAGAAGGGGAAGCAGCTCGCGGGAGGTCGGCGTACGGGTCGTCGTTGCTCATGAGTTCAAATATCAAAATCGGTGTGCGCAAAATAATCAAGAAATTCCCGACTTTTGTAAGAACGAACGAGTTTTCAAATCGCATATGATGATGATGATTTATACATCAACCCGATATTTCTAACGACCGACCGATCGAAATCCGAGGAATTCGACCATGGTACTGGAATATTAATATTGTAGACGCACAATATAATTCTAAGTGAATATATAATAGCAGTATACTTTGGCCTTATATTATCCGCGTCCAAGTATATGATATGATACAGCGTACTGTCGTCAACAACATTATTACTGTAGTTTACTATAATCCGGATTGCATTTATGGTCCTATCATGATCAACTGAGATGCAGAAGTTGTCAAAGAAAGTTTGCCTTTTGGCTGAGCGTTTGGTGCCCGCTGGCATTCGCTGTGACCCCGCTTTAACCATATCAATCAAATTCTCGCAACGTCTTGAATATCGCTCCCGAGCGATATTGCTTTCATCGTATAGCACCAAGAAGAGACAATGTGTTGCTTTTGCAGCTGGAAACATTCCAATGAAAGTTGCCAGTGAAGCAAACATATGTTCTCACTGGCAAATTGTTGCAAACAAGTTTCCAATGACGCCCACATCACAGGAAACAAGTTTTCACACTCACCACCCATTCTTCTATCGATGTCAGAGCAGCACGACGAAAGACCAGGCGGCAAGAAGAAACCGGCCTACCGATTCACTCTACAACAGGACATTGATCTCGTTAAGGAGGTCATCTCTGTTGCTCCCCATGATGCACCGTACGGTCAAATGAGCGCTCGATGGTCTTAAGTAGGCCACAACATGCAGTCCATCCATGGTAGCAGTCTCAGTGCAAGTGGTTGCCGTAAGCGTTGTGACGATCTGCTCTCGGCCTTTCACAAGGCCAATATGGCATCGCTGCGAGC